TTTTTTTGGAGAGGTTTTCGCTATAGGGCGCGTGCGCTCACCAGACAGACAGAGAGAGACATAGAGACAGAAAGCGAGAAATCACCCCCCAGAGGGGATGGTCACGCCGCAATCCCTTCTCCTCCATTCTCCTCTCGGGATCTTGGGCACGCACGCACACGCGCCCGGCGTGAGTTTTAAGCCACCGGGTCCGGGACACGAACCGCGGTCGACTATGTGGGAGTCCAGCGACATAGCCATTATGCTAACTGCTGGTTCCCAGAATGCTTTCTTAATGTTGATAACAGAACAATAAATCAAGCCCTGATTTGCCAATTACTGTGGTGTAAATATTCCCATTATGGGCATTTTCAAGCTACCAATGCAATGTCACTGTACATAGTCTGGAGAGAGGTAACTAGTAACTCAGTATTTCATAATATTTTCTCCATATAGGTAAGAAAAATTCAGCATAAATGATAATGAAGAACATAGATAACAGTAAAATAATTAGGAAGTGATAACTTTTGAGTATTTAAAAAATAATTTATGTAATTTTAATATTATGTAACTTAATGTTTAATAATCTCCTTAATGATTGGCTCAAAGATTCCTGTCATAAGCCCGTTTAGGCTAGCTTCCACACACCACTAATAGTATCCTCCTAATATCTTACTAGGCCAGGTATTGGTAACTTCGACCAAGTGACTACAGTCATATAATACTCATCAAATCAGTACATTAAAAATCTTAGTGTGTATAAAATAACCAGCACATGATGGACTTCCCAGAGACTTTGACTAAGTCTGTGATGGGACCTAGGAGTCTATATTTAACAAGGAAACTCCTCCATCCCCACATCAGATGACTCAGTTAAAGAATACAACATCACTTATTGAGTGTACATTGTCTACATATTCTATGCCAATTCCAAGTACCTGGATAAGAAAGAGACAAAATTTTGTATTCAAGGAGGATAGAGAGACCAGTAATTACCATAGACCTATGATACTGCTATATACTGGGTGCTTTGGGAATAAAGAAAAATCTACCTGAGGGGAGGAATTATGAGAAAAGATGATGTATAAACTGAGTCATGAAGAATGAGCACAAACAATCAAGACGAGAAGGAAAAGGAGGAAGAACTGTTCGGGACAGAGACAGCAGCATGTACACGCATAGACACAAGGGTTTGGTCCACTAGGAAACTACGCACGCTTTGGGACTTTACCCCTTACTCATGCTTGGTAGCCATATTTACCGGGTATGAGTTTTGGCACATAGCAAGCACATGTTTGCTGAACTATGTTCCATCACAGAGTTCACGTGATGAGTGACCAGCAATGACAAAAGATATAGTCAGGTCAGGAAGGACGTTTTAGAATGCCTGGCACAAGAAGGTACTCAATAAATTTCCCCTTCATATGCTTCCTTCCACTTAAGTGTTTAAATGAATATTACCACCTTCATAGGATTATCATTGTGAAAAGAGGCACATTATATAGCTAACACACAAAGCTGAGAAATACACAATAGTCTCCCTGATTTTATGCCAAGGCATCGCAGAAAATGAAAAAATCACTGAAATGGTGCACCAGGTCAAGGTCCTGGGGGAAACAGGTGATTGTGATGCATTATTAGTATTTTTCCACTGGGTTTACCTCATTCTACATTAATCGGTCTTGAAATAAAATGGGAATGTTATTTTCTCTTTCTGGGGTCTATTGTTTCTACTCTAAATGTGTATGTTCATTAGGTAACCTAATTAAGTTAAGGATTTACATAGTGATGTAATAAAGAAAAGTGAATGCAAGATGAGCTGGATAAAAGGTAGAAGATGAGCCATGTCAAAGAGAAGTAGTTTGCATCCACAGCTAGAAAACGGTACCCTCCCACACCAAGTATGGTCCTACACAACAGTCTCTAACTCAAGCCACGCCCATGCCTGCTGTCTCTGCTGCTCCAGCTCCACCTCCTCTGGGCGTTGTGCTCCAGACACTCTTTTCCATACAGATCCTTTCCCTCCTTGTGCGTGAGCCTTATCTTTCATTACCATATCTTCCATAATGTTTATGTCCCACCAGATTTTACACTTTCTTACTTTCTTGCTTTCTGTCTCTATGTCTGTCTGGCGAGCGCGCACGCCCTATAGCTAAAACCTCTCAAAAAAAAAAAAAAAAAAGAAAAGAAAAAGAAAAATGAAGGAAAAAGGATTGTAGTATGACCATACTCAACTGAGGAGTAATTTCTCTCTCTCTCTCTCTAGCAAGTATATGTGCCCACTGGCAAGTAAATAAGAAAGTAAGTAAATAAATAAATAAATAAAACTTCTCCATAAAGCTTTCACCTCTCTCACACACACATAAGGAAAGCAAATCCTTATTTTGCTTACCCATAGAAAGGCTGAGAGGCCTATGACTGCGCCTTACTAAGTGAAATCCCCACAAGCGTTCTAGGAAATATGTTCTTTATGCATATTGGAGAAGAGAAAGAACAAACATGTATGTCAATGCTGGTTCTATTTTTGTTCTCTTTAACCAGTTTCCTCAAGTTCAAAAGAGACAATTTACACAATTCAATAACTGAATCATATATGGTCCAATTTAACATGCTATTTCCAATATTATAACAATAATTAACATTTCTGAAAATAGTCTTCTGTCATGCACTGTGTAAGCACTTTTCACATATCATTTTATTAAACCCTGAAAACACTCTATATAAGGTAAATACGATAATTAACCTCATTTTTAGAAATGAGGAGGCTTACAGAGATTAAATAAGAACTGACTCCAAGATAACAAGCGTAAATCAAAAAGCCAAAATCTGTATCCAGATCCTTGATGCCAAGCCCAAGCTGCACCACCTCCTGTGGTCACAAGGTTCAACTTTCAACAGCAGAACCCATCCTATAAGGAACTATGGAACCTCTTCCAAGGATACTATGTCAGGAATTTAATTGTGCTTCTGTTTGCTGAAGAGATGCTTTTCACATCAAACTTACCAAGAAGTAAATGGCAAGCTGAGTCAGGAGCTACCCAAACAAACAATAAACTAAGTACCGGTGGCCACAGCAGAATCGCTCACTCTAAGTACGTTGGTTCTCTTTCAGGATTCTTCCCCTGCAAGACTGGAAAGTCACAGTAGCAAAAAAGACTGGAGGAAGGGATCTTCAAGGGTCCAAAGCTGCCAGCTGAAACAACCAGCTGGGTTTAGCTAATTGACTTCAGGTTCCCCATATACCCAAAGCAAACTAGCACGGAAAACAGAAAAAAAAAAAAAAAAAAAAAAAAAAGAGCAGAATGATCCCTAAGGTATAAAGATAGATGCACAAATTCCTCTACAAGCAGGGTTAAAAGGCATAGATTCCATCACTCCTAAAGTGCTTATGGGAAATTTGGACTTGATTTACAACATTCTTTTATATTCATTACATGGAAAGGCCTTTCAGATTTTGTAGGATGTTGAGCAGAGGATAAGAACTCTAGAAAACGGGGCTTATCTGCTATCAATACACTCACTAACCTCCCTCTAGTTTCCAAAGTCAGCTTCAGAGAAAAGAAAAAGGCCTCAAAATTGTTTATAGTTTTCCATACAGCTTCACCTGTTCAATTGACAGAAAGAAATCTCAAGCAGCACTTAAAGCAGTGACCACAATAAATCAAGAGCTTCATGTTAGCCAGCAAGATTTCCATAGTCTGAGGTCAGCCTTAGGAGAAAGTAAGCAATCATATACTTTCAGGGATAATTAAAGGTTGTCCCCTATCCCCAAATAACACCTCTCCTGGGGATGCTGGTGTTTAAATTTCTATATTAAAAACAAAAAAAATCCTTGTGGCTTTAAGCTCAGTTTGTTAAAATGCAAAAATCAAGGTTATTGTATTTTACAGTCCAAGGCTTCTTTACATCAAAATTACCCGTGTTTATTAAGGTATCTTCAAGCCAAGTTTTTTTAAAGAAAGGAAAGGATTTGAGGGAAAAAAAAAAAAAAAAACCCTTAGTCTTTTGGTCAAAAATAGTTGAGGAGAGAGTTTTCCACTGAGACCAAAGAATGCAAATAAGGGAGTGGGTTCCAGAGTCAATAAGGTAACTCGCAAATTTTTCCTCTATTTCGGTTGCCATTACTATGATTTAGTATAGTCCGCCCATGTCCTTGTAAAGGCCGTCTGCTATATAGCAAGCATTCTGCCTTTTTTACAAGGAAACTGACCCAAAGAACGTCAGAATGAGGTATTTGAAATTTGCAGTCCTTGTGCAAGGCATCGGTGGTTGTAAGCACTCGGATGTGTCTACCCGCAGGCAGAAAGTCGTGACTTTACAGATTATTAGAAAAGGCATAGATTCCTCTGCAAGCGAGGTTAAAAGGCACAGATTCCTGGGCAAGCGGGGCTGGACCGACTCTACCTACCAGGCATAAAGCGAAAAGCCCGGAAGGGTAGGGGGAATCAAGCTGGATGGCTCCAGGAAGTGGGTGGGGAGGAAGCTGCCGAGGTTGGAGCCAACCGTGGCGATAGCAATTTGCACACGCCTAGCAGAGGGAGTCCCGGGCCACTGAGCGCAGCGGTCACGAGAGCTTTCGGCAGTGGGTCTCTTTCGATTCCCGTCATCACCCAAACATCCAGCTCGAGTTCGGGACGTAAAAGGGGCTTGTAAAGTGGGCGGCGGCCGGGGTTCCCAAGCTGAGTCACAGCCAGGTCAACTTTTACGGCATTTCTCAGAAACAAAATACCAAGTCTCCGTCGTCTCGGAGCTCACCACTCACTTCTAATTCCCGCTCCCCATTCTGTGTCAATAGACCCGGGGTGACTCCAGCCTCACAAATGAGGTGTTCACTCCTCGCGCAACTTCCTAGGGCGCAAAGCCTCGTGGTACCCCGAGCGCTGGTCAAGTGCTACCAAAACCTGCCGGAGAAGCGGGGGAGGGTGGCGGGAGGGACAGAGCTGCGTCCTCACCTGCAGGACACCGACACCTCCACTCGCGTGGCTGGGATGGCCGCGCTCAGCTGGTTCAAGTCCCCGATGCCCGCTGTGCTGGTGTAGCGGCTGTCCATCTTGGGTGGAAGCGTGGTGGACTTGTCCGGCGCCCACATCCGGAGCTCGGGCAGACTGAGGGCTCGGAGCCTAGCTCCGGGTAAAGGCAGAGGAAGGAGGCGGAGGCAGCGAGCGGGAAAGGGGAGGGCGGGGAGGAGGCGGACCTGGGCGCTGAGCCGCGAGGGAACAGCGAGCCAGTCCCGGGTGAAGCCAAAGCGGCCGGGAAGTGGCGCGCAGGGTCCCGGCCTCCCAGCCCTCGCCTGGCAGGCAACAGCCCGGAGGGTGACACTCCTCGATCCCCTTTTGGCTCCAGGCGTCAGGCTTCGCGGACCCACGGAGCAGCGTGGCGGGATAGGGGGGCAAGAGACCTAAACCCCTACATCTAGGAGGGCAAGCCCTGGCCGCTTTTGAGAGCAGTTTAGATTTTGTCTCCGCCCCCGCACACCCACAACCCCCGTTGGGCCTTGACTCCCTCCTGTCAATCAGGTGTGGACAAGAGTGTCACGCTGTCTCCACCTTAGGGCTGGAAGCTGGCGGTGTGGGCGTTTTGCAGGTCCCCAATTCCCCTTGCTTTGGTCCACCTCGCGCTGGTCTTTACTCCCGGAGCCCACAGGGGTCTCTCTCACTGTGCTTTCGGGTAATTGAGTCGGGTCTCTGCTTCTGGACTGCTTTCCCTCCGCCACTTGATGGGACGAAGAAACATGGGGTCGGTTTCCAACCTTCCGCACGCGATGGTAAAGTGGCAGATCATATGTGGGACAAGCGAAGATGGGGTGGGCTCTAAAGTGGAAAAACATACTATTTATTAGGATTTAAGGAAGCCATCTGGGTTGTCTCCCCTCGCTTGGTTCTTTGGAGCCTGGGGTCTAACAGTGACAATCCTCTTGCAGTCAGGGAGGGCTCCTGTACTCCCCCCATTTCCAAATCCTGGAAGCTCAGCCCGGAAACCCGAGATCGCAGCCATGTACATAGCGCAGCCCCCTCATCCTGACTCCCACCCAAGACCTGAAACTGGACGGACAGAAGTCGAGAGGACCTGGAGTGAGCGCCGCGTTTGGGAAACTGGATCCCAGGGCAGCGGGACTGCTGCCAAGATGCAGAAACTGCAAAAAGCGTCCAGAGATAGCCGCGGTGCCCCAGCGCAGCGACCTTTATTGCGCGCATCTTCGCTCCTGCCGCACCCGCGCGCCTGCGGGTCCTTAGGGCGCTTGCCACCAGGGGGCAACGGAGAACAGGGTGCGGCGCAGCGGGAAGAAGCTGGGTGGGAGGGGGCAGATGACAGCTTGGCTGAACGTGCCAAGCACGGAGTTTTCAACTGGCTGGGCTAACTCTGAGAGGAGTTTTCCTAGTTGGGGGCCTGCCTTTGTGGTAACCTTTCAACCCACTTGGAGTCACCTGCCTGGACAATATGTAGAGCGGCGTGTAGGAAAGTGTAGGTGCAGCCGGGCTAGCCGCGCCCCCCTACCGAGTGCACTTCCCAAGTTCTTGATGTTATCTCCTGATCTCCCCCCCTTCCCGTTGTCACCGTTTGCATTCTCTGTTTTTCTCTTTCTTTTCCCATTACAAGTTAAACTGCAGTTTATTACTACTGGGAAGTGTACTGAAACTCCAGGCATTTCTATTATCCTGTCCAAAATTAAATTGGGGGAAGAATCAAGATGCATTTTTAAGCTAACCAGAACTTCGTTTTATAGAAGTCTGCTGAAGAAACAAAAATTGAGAACTGTAAAATAGCACTGAACGCCCAGGACCCACGCTTTTAATTTTTTTCTATTTTATTTAGGTTTAATTGATTTATATAACCAACTGTACATATTTAAAGTGTATCATTTGCTAAATGTGATGCAGGTATACTCCCATGAAGTCATCACCATAATCGAAAAAATGAACTGTTTAAGCACCCCCAATATTTGCCCATTTGTTATCAGTCCTTCCTTTTACCTCCCCCAAACCCACAAACAACAGCGGTTTCCTTTATGTCACTAGATTCATTTGCATTTTCCTTAATTATACTTATGAAATCATATAGCCTGTACTGCTTTTGGTCTGCTTCCTTCCATGCAACAAAATCCTTTTGGGCTTCATCCATGTTGTTTAAAGTCTCTATAGTGAGTAATATCCTTTGTATTAATTCTTTATCAGAAATTATTTACTCATTCACTTGTCACTAGACATTTTAATTCATTCCAAGTTTAGGCTATTACCAATAACATGCTCTGAACATTTATGTACAAATGTTTATGTGGATGTTTGCCTTCATTCCTTTTTAAGTACCTAGAAACAGTAGGATTATATCAAACATGTATGTTTATCTTTTAAAAAATGATTAAATTGTTTTTTAAAATAGTTTTCCTCTTTTACATTCCTACAATAGTATCGGAGCGACAGCTGTTTCATATCCTCACCGACTATTATTATTGTTAGTCTAAAATTTTAGCTAATCCCACAGGTGTGTGGTAGTCTCTCATGTGATTTAATGACACGGAGTATATTTTCATGCATCTATTTGTTAGCTGTGCCTATTCTTTGGTGAAATGTCTGTTCAAGTCCTTGCTCATTTTTATTGGGCGATTACTTGTTTTTGTTTTTGTTTTGTTTTGTTTTTTCCCTGAGTTCTGAGAGTTCTTTATATAGTCTGTATACAACTCCTTTATCACATATGATTTAGAAATACATATTTTCTACCAGTATGTGCCAGTCTCTTAATTAATTTCTTAAGAAATAAACATTTTTTAATCTGGATGAATCCAAATTAAATTAAACTAAATCTGGTTCAACTTTTTGTCTTATACAGAAAGTTCGTGGAAAAAAGCATTTGAATAAAAAAAGTATGCATAGATTTCAATTTTTGGCAGTAAAATAAACTCACAGTTGAATTCTATTACTCAGTGAACTTCTTTTATTTGCCAGAAGGCACATACACTCACCAGAGAGAGAAAGCATCTCCCAGTATGGTATGATCATGCCACAACCCCTTCTCCTCCATTCCTCTTTCCTGTCAGGATTTGGAGTACACATGCCTGATGTTTTTCAAACTCCTGGGGCTAAGAATCAAACCAGGGTCAGTCATGTGGGGTCTGGCTCCCTTAACCACTAGTCTATGAAGCCAGCCCTGTTCACATAACTTTTTAAAATCCCCCCACAGATTGTAATGCTGGTGTTGAATCAAAGAAATTTTTGTCTAATCTTAAGTCACAAAAAATTATTTTCTATGCTTTCTTCTAGAAAGTTTATAACTTCAGGTTTTACATTTAAGATTGTGATTTATTTTGAGTATTTTTTTTTCAAAATTTTCTTTTTTTGTCCATTGACATGGAACTTTCCTAGCACCGTTTGTTTAAAAGAACAGCCTTTCAGGCCAGCCATGGCATGGTGGTTAAGGTAGTAGCTAGATCTTACATGGCCCACCGTGCAGTTGGAACTCTGGACCCAGTGGCTTGAAAAGCAAACCAGGCATGCATGTGTGAACCCAAGATCCCAAAAGGAGGGAGAGATAGAGAAGAAGGGTCTATAGTGTGACCATTTCCCATGGGAGGTGCTTCCTTTCTTTCTCTCTCCCTTTTACCTCCCCCAAACCCACAAACAACAGCGGTTTCCTTTATGTCACTAGATTCATTTGCATTTTCCTTAATTATACTTATGAAATCATATAGCCTGTACTGCTTTTGGTCTGCTTCCTTCCATGCAACAAAATCCTTTTGGGCTTCATCCATGTTGTTTAAAGTCTCTATAGTGAGTAATATCCTTTGTATTAATTCTTTATCAGAAATTATTTACTCATTCACTTGTCACTAGACATTTTAATTCATTCCAAGTTTAGGCTATTACCAATAACATGCTCTGAACATTTATGTACAAATGTTTATGTGGATGTTTGCCTTCATTCCTTTTTAAGTACCTAGAAACAGTAGGATTATATCAAACATGTATGTTTATCTTTTAAAAAATGATTAAATTGTTTTTTAAAATAGTTTTCCTCTTTTACATTCCTACAATAGTATCGGAGCGACAGTTGGTTACAATAGTATCGGAGCGACAGCTGTTTCATATCCTCACCGACTATTATTATTGTTAGTCTAAAATTTTAGCTAATCCCACAGGTGTGTGGTAGTCTCTCATGTGATTTAATGACACGGAGTATATTTTCATGCATCTATTTCTTCCTCTTCTTTGGTGAAGTGTCTGTTCAAGTCCTTGCTCATTTTTATTGGGCGATTACTTGTTTTTGTTTTTGTTTTGTTTTGTTTTTTCCCTGAGTTCTGAGAGTTCTTTATATAGTCTGTATACAACTCCTTTATCACATATGATTTAGAAATACATATTTTCTACCAGTATGTGCCAGTCTCTTAATTAATTTCTTAAGAAATAAACATTTTTTAATCTGGATGAATCCAAATTAAATTAAACTAAATCTGGTTCAACTTTTTGTCTTATACAGAAAGTTCGTGGAAAAAAGCATTTGAATAAAAAAAGTATGCATAGATTTCAATTTTTGGCAGTAAAATAAACTCACAGTTGAATTCTATTACTCAGTGAACTTCTTTTATTTGCCAGAAGGCACATACACTCACCAGAGAGAGAAAGCATCTCCCAGTATGGTATGATCATGCCACAACCCCTTCTCCTCCATTCCTCTTTCCTGTCAGGATTTGGAGTACACATGCCTGATGTTTTTCAAACTCCTGGGGCTAAGAATCAAACCAGGGTCAGTCATGTGGGGTCTGGCTCCCTTAACCACTAGTCTATGAAGCCAGCCCTGTTCACATAACTTTTTAAAATCCCCCCACAGATTGTAATGCTGGTGTTGAATCAAAGAAATTTTTGTCTAATCTTAAGTCACAAAAAATTATTTTCTATGCTTTCTTCTAGAAAGTTTATAACTTCAGGTTTTACATTTAAGATTGTGATTTATTTTGAGTATTTTTTTTTCAAAATTTTCTTTTTTTGTCCATTGACATGGAACTTTCCTAGCACCGTTTGTTTAAAAGAACAGCCTTTCAGGCCAGCCATGGCATGGTGGTTAAGGTAGTAGCTAGATCTTACATGGCCCACCGTGCAGTTGGAACTCTGGACCCAGTGGCTTGAAAAGCAAACCAGGCATGCATGTGTGAACCCAAGATCCCAAAAGGAGGGAGAGATAGAGAAGAA